AAAGGCCTACTACGATAAGCATTATACACTAATAACCTTTAAACAAGGCGATATAGTTATACTTAGCACTAAGAACCTCCGCATCCGCAAACACCTATCGCCTAATAGTAAAACAAGGCCTAAGCTCGTACTAAGATACATTAGCCTATTTCGTATCCGAGAACCGAAGGGCAATAGCTAGGCCTACTAGTTATAGCTTCTACCCTATTACACTATCTATAACACCTTCTATATCTCCCTCCTTAAACTATACTACTAGCGCGAAAGCGATAAAGCGCCTGCTAAGTTAGAAGAAGTCTTAGCTAATAGTAAAGAGCTATAGTCTATAGAACGTATCCTAAAGTATCGGACTAGGTAGGGCAAGAAGGAGTACCTATTAAGATAGCAAGGCTATCTACCTAAATAGGACTTATAGGAAGCTAAAGCCTCTTTTAAAGACATAACTAAGTTATTAGATAAGTATTAGACTAGCGTAAAGAACAAGAAGAAGGCTAAAAGCTCGTAATATTACTAAGGCCTAGAACTAATGCTACCCCCGGGGTGCTATTAGCTAACTAATTAGAGGCCGGCAAACTAGGACAATAAGACTATACTACTATAGTAAACGCGCACCGAGCATTAACAAACGCGCTATAATGCGTTAACTAATCGCCTACTCTTTTAAGGACTCTACCTCTTTACTAACGCACCCTGTAGGTCCCCCTCTTATTCCTTTATTCTATCGGGGCCTCGAGGCCTAGGCAATCGGCGCGGCCGGCGCGGCTATATTAGTAACGGTATTGCGGAGTGTATTGTTAGTAGAAGAAGAAGATTAGAAGCGAGGTAAAGTTGGCGCTAAGACGACTAGCGTCGCTATTATTAGTATTACTTACTATTGTCGCTATACTTACGAAGACAATCTTACCTATACTACGGCCTAAGGCTAGAAGCGCGCTATACTAATTAAGTTAAGAGAATGGCTATATTAAGGTTTAATTAAAACTTTAAGGCTAAGTTAAAACTTTAAGCCGCTTAAAAGATTAAGCGACTAATAGACTAACTAAGGGCAAAACTATAGAGCTAAGCTAGCTAGGGTCGATCTTATAGACAATAGGTTACTCCTCGATCTTTCTAACCCTTTAAGCGAGGCGAACCTTAACTACTGCACTTATAATAGCCTTTACCTATAGAAACTAGACGAGCTGTGTTTTTTCTAAAAAGTAAATAATAGCCCTCGTAACAATAAGAACAAACCCTCGGAAGCGGACAACCCTCGGAAGCGGACATTACTAGGTCTTTTAAGAGTAGACGCAAAGAACTCGGTACGATATTACTTAGAGCGGAGGCAGTGCTACAATACCCCGTATACCTACCTATTGCAGTAGGGAAGGTACGCTTATATTATAATTAGTCGATAGTCCTTAATTTTTATAGCCTTATGCCTCTTTACTTTATTATATACAAGGATAGCGTAGTTAGAGTTAGACATTATGTTATATTAGAGGTAAGGTTTAATATAGTTATATAATTAGGTAGTTAAGCGTTTAATTTAGCGCGGGCTAAGCAGCTTATTAGACTTGCTAAGTTAGCGGTAATAGAGGTTATAGAACGTAGATAGGCTACGAGGGCGCGGCCTTTAGAAGGGAAGCGTGTGTTAGAGGCTATACGTAATTAGTATATAACTAGCTTAAGTAAAGCTAGGGTCTTAGTACCTTAGGCAGGGCTTAGCGCTTAGCGTTAGGCTAACTAGCCTGCCTTCCTCCTTCTCCCCCTAGCTCCTTATTAAATACTACTTATACCTACTACTACCCTATCTACCTGCTAATATAACCCTTCTTATAGTCGTAAACGCCGTCGATAATCTCTCGTTCCTTTAGGCCTATAGGATATACCTTGTACGCTAATTTAGCGCTAGCAGCCTTCTAGTCGCTAACTAAAGGGATAGTTATTTAGTCCTCTTTAGGAACCTTCGCAAAACGGCTGTTATCGATAAACAGCTGCTTATGTTTTTCTAGTAAGGCGTTATATTTAGCCCTCGTTTCGTCGTCGCTATATAGTATAGCGCCTATTAGGCCTAGCTTTTCCTTCGCTCCCGGTTGCGCTAGCGGTAGCGACTCGTCGTCTTCCTCTCGCTCGGTAGTTACTATAAAGCATAGCAACACTTAGGCTCGTCCCTTCTAAGTAATATTTATCGATACTGCGGTACTATTTAGGAAATACATTTGTCTATCGGCAAAAGATAGTACTAACTTTTCCTTCTCTATTAGGCGCGTTCCTAATAGCACTCTAGCCGGTAGCCTATCGATTAAATATACTCTTATTAATATCGTAACCCTATTATTAAAAACTATATTAATAGGCATCTTGTTAGACAGGCTTGTAATCTTGTTACCTACTCCTTAGATTCGTCGTAGGCACGTTACCTTTATAGGAACTCTATTAGGGTACCGCTACTAGGCTAATATTCGATCTATAAGAGTAATTAGGTTACCGCTATCTAGGTATATCTCTATTGCTACATTATTTATCTAAGCTAATATAGTTGCGTATCTAACAGTTATGCCTATTTGCTTATCGGATCTAGTAGCTACTAGGATTTTTGTCCTCGTCCTTTATAGTACTCTATTCTAAGATACGAATATAGGCGGTTAGAAGTCTTAAACTCCTAGCGGTATATAGTATAGGTATACTTGTTATATACTAGACTTAGATGTCCTATGTTAAGAACATCTACCGCGTTAGTATTAGCGTCGTCGTCGCCTTTTTTATTAGATAAGTATTTGTTAGAGTCGACGTAGTTAGTATTTTACTATTCCTCGCCCTCTAACTCTTCTAAGTCCTTATCGACCTAATAAGAGTCCTACTTCTTACGCTAAGCGAAGGGCTTTATAGGCTAAGGCTTAGCCTTATCGAAGGTCTTCTTAGCGCCCTTTAATTAGACTATTACGGAATAAGGAAGTAATAGTCTAGGGGCTAGCTAACTAATAGGGCGACGGCCTACCTTTGTAATTAGCCTTCCTCCTCTATATAATTATTATTAATTACAACTTTATAATAATTAGTAGCTTCGCTCGTACTAAACCCTTATACTACTAGGAGTTATTCGAGATACTACTAGGACGAGGCAACTACTAGATTAGGGCTAATCCGACTAAGAGCCTAACTACTTCCCTCTACTACTTCTTTGCGACTATATATACGGAACGCGTATTTATATAAATCCTATAGACGACGACCGCGCTTTCGCTATATATACGCGAACTAACTAGATTACTAACGTAGAGGTTAGGTCTTATCTAGGACGCTTTTTATAGGACTTTTAAGCGATAGAGACCTATTCCCCTAAGTAGCTCGACTTACCGGTATACTAATAGCCTATATAGAACTCGTTCCTATAGTTCTATAGAAGAAGATATAGGCTAAATTTACTATCGGCGACTACTATAGCAAGTAGGTCTAGAAGGTACTTACCCGTAAAGAGGAAGTTACTTTCTAAGCTAAGGGTAGCTGCCTCTAGATCGCAATAGTAGTTATAATAGCCTTAATAGCCTCTACGGCAATCGCCTAATATAACAATAATAATAGCGACCTCTACTATAAGTATATAACCTTCGACTATATCGACGGCTTAACCTATAATAGCAACTATATAGGCAACGAGCGTCTAGCCTCCTACTATAGCGGAATAAGAGGACGCTATCTCGGCGGAAATAATAGCCGCTATTTAGGTAGCAGTTGCCTAGGTACTAGTAGGCTAGGCTCCTACGGTAGGTAACGGAAATAGAAATAGTACGCTTATCTTTAATAAGGCTAGTAACCTAGACTAAATGCGGGACTAGGAAATTAGTTTCTTCTAACTAGACCTACTAAAGGGAGAGGACGACCCGATAGTCGTAGGATCTAATACCTTCTTCCGAGATATTAATATCTTTATTAAACGACTTAAGGATATTATAGCGTATCGTAGTAACGATCGCGTTAAGTCTAGAATCCCCGTACTACTACGAGAAACGGCCTTAACCTAGTATACTAATACGCTTAATAACCTAGCGAAATAGGGCCTTCGCTACGTACTAGGTCTAGACTATTAGTTTACGACGCTACGAGAGAACTTCTAGATACTACTATCGGAGTCGCTAAACGAGCTAACGCGGCTTAAATATACGTTGTTAGACGTAGGCAACCGACGTAGTATAGATGCCTACCTTAGCGAGGTAATACGCTATATACGTAACGCCGGCCTAGTTAATAAGAGCTAGTAGCTAACGTATATATAGAACGGCATCGATATAGAGCTGCGACGTGGCATTCGGCTACCGAGAGAAGAGGACACTATTATATCATTTGGATAGAGGCTTAAGGAAGAGCAACCGGCGTAGGCTGAACTGGTACGACGATTGAACCGACGCAATACCGCTATTGCCGGTTCTTCATCGAGACCTTTCCCTACCCGCTTAGCGGGTAAGCAACCACAGCGTGATCGAGACCGGGACTTCCGATCGAGCCGTCAGCAGACGGACCGATAGGAAGGCTCCAGGAAGCCTTAGACTAATAACGTACGTACCTCACAGCAGCCGCCGCCTCGCCGCGACCAAGGTCGAAGCGACCAACGCTTTCGGAAGCCTCAAGACCGTCAAGAATCAGCAAGCGACAAGTCGCAATCAAGGGGCGCTGAGAATCGATCAATTCCGAAGCGAGGCAGGATTGGCAACGGAACCTGTCTCTGACAACGAGAACGAGGGAAACAACGAGGCTGTCGACGACCCGGAACCTATCTCATAGACGCTAGTCAACGCCTATCCATCGTTTACGCCATTCAACGCCAACGAGGAGACGCCATCGAAATCTGGCACCAAGAAGAGAAAGAACAAGGGCAAGGGCATTGTTATGAAGTTGTGATTGATGATGATTATGTAGAGGAGGAAGGCTAATTACAAAGGTAGGCCGTCGCCCCATTAGTCAGCCAGCCCCTGGACCGTTACTTCCTTGTTCCGTAACATGGTTACATTGATATTGCCAAAATGGCGAAGATAGCTATCATTGGCGCAGGCACTATCGGACTATCATTTGCGGCTCTGCACCTCGCGAAGGATCCCGGGTGTTCGGTGGCGATTTACGATACTCGAACAGATCTCCAAGAATACGTCTCCCAGCATTTGCCCGGATACCTGGTTGATGCGGATGAGATATCTTGCATACGTCGATTGTCCTTCTCGCAGAGTCTGAAGAGCGCAGTTGAGGACGCGGCGGTCGTTCAAGAGCAAGGTCCCGAGAATGGAGATTTCAAGAGATCGATATGGCCACAAATTGAACAGCATGCCCCGGCAGACGCTCTGTTCTGGTCAAGCACGTCGGGCATACCAGCAAGTGAGCAGAATCAGGATATGAAGGATAGGTCCAGACTGGTGGTTTGCCATCCTTATAACCCACCACATATCATGCCTTTACTCGAAGTCGTGCGATCACCTCAGACATCTGATGATGTAGTGGAGAGAACATTGCAATACTGGCGAGGCTTAGGCAGGACTCCGGTGGTGGTGAAGAAAGAGTGCGTCGGCTTCGTCGCCAACCGATTGGCTTTTGCACTGTTCAGAGAGGCATGTAGTCTGGTCTCACAAGGTGTGGTTGAAGTAGAAGATCTGGACGAGATTGTGAGAGCTTCAATGGGACCGAGATGGACAGTAGCAGGCCCTTTCAAGGCATATCATGCTGGTGGAGGGCAAGGAGGCCTGCGAAGCTTCTTGGACAAGATCGGAGGCACGGTTGACAGCTGCTGGAATGCGAGCGATGAAGATTTGCGGCAAGGGAAGATCAAGATTGGTGAAGCTTGGCAAGAAAGTATATGTCGACAGGCACAGGATGTCTATGGCGTTGCAGACACTGCTGAGCGAGATCAGAAGACTAGACGTGTTCTTGAAGCAGTGAATGAATAGATCGACGGAGCCTATGGCATCTCTTTGCATGCCAATACATCGGCGTTTGAGAGGTATCGCTCCGAATCCCGAGCGCGCGGTGTCTCGATCGAGGTTGCCCAGTGAAACTCGCATAACAAACACTTGAACACATCTCAAGCTCAACTTCACGTCCCCGTCTAAGCCGGCAGCATAGCTTTGTGATAGCTCTTCTGAAATGAATGATGAAGCTGATCGAATAGGAAGGTGGCTAGGACTCATCAGCTCGCGTGCCTCAGCTCGACGCCTGCAGCGCCAGCGACAGCGACAGCCAGCCAGCACGCGAACAACGCCTTTCGAAGGCTCGAGATGCATAGCAGCACGGAGTCTGGTCGGCACCGCACCGACATGATAAGGAGACGGTCCATACGAACTGCTTACCCGCCACTTATCTCCACCCATACCTATACCTAATCTACCACCATGTTCGATCTGCTGGGGCTGGCCCACGCGACAAGATTCCCTGCGCGACACTGCATGATTTACTGCACTGCTTCAGCCGCTTCCAACCACACACGGCTTCGCTTGCCATTCGCTGAAGCGGCAATGTTGCAGGGTCCTTGACGCCCTGCCGGAGCCTTCGATGAGTGCTGAGCTTCACATTCGCATGTGCTATCGCGCGACAGCGATATGACAGCAGAACACGATGGATGAGGAGGCGATGTCCGCGGATGAAGGATTGCATATATGGCCAGAAATGCTTCGGAGGCTCGGAGCACGCGGTGTCCAGGTTACAAGCCAAGGCTGTTATCGCATAGCCAAGGCCTTTGCTGGAGCTTGAATCTCTCCACTTACGCAACAGGAAACGTGCCCCGCCGAGGGAGGTTCAAGGTTTTTCTTCGCTGTGCGACGTCGTTCGCCAGACCACATGGCGCTGTCCAGGATCAGCACATTATTCCAACCAAAGAGACCGGCTCCAAAGGCATGCCAAGCTTTAGGAGCTCCATGCAATGCTACAGTGTCACTTCGAGAGGCAATACCTCCGCCGCCGTCGCGGTCGCCGCCGCGGTCCAATGCACCACCCTAGACGCTCTCGCAGTTCTGCGTGCCCAGCAAGCGCAGATAAGGTACCACGCTACACGATGTCCCCGTGTCTGAGCTGGAACTGAGATTTAACTCTTGGAGACTGCGCGTGCAGCATTTCAATCGTGCGCTGTGCCCGTCCAGTCACGCCCGTGGATCTTCTCACTCGACAACAATTCCTCCTCGGCATGGACGCCCATCGGGACCCGGCGCTTGACCCAGCGCATCAGCACGAGCACGGCCATCTCCATCACAGCGAACATGCAGTGCATAGCGGAGATGACGTGCCTTCGTACACCGTTGGCACCACGACCGACCGAAGCGTAATTCCAGATCCTAGTCCTCACGATCACATCCACACCCATGCTCATCCGGGTGCTGGACACCTCGACCATACTGCTACAAAAGAGTTGGAGAACAAATCCGATGACTATGGCGAGAAGCAACATTATACCATAGATCTTGAGCAGGGCAAAGCTTCGCCAATCTCGGGTTCTGCAGTGTCGCCAGACGAAGAGAAGCCATTGCGAGGCATATATCGCAAATACCGGCCAGTATGGCATGCTGCTATGTGGCTGCTCATTACTGGCTGGTGGATAGCAGGTCTGGTTCTACATCATGCGGACATGAACTGGGTGATACCATTTCTGCTCTGGCTTGCCTTCACCATCAGATTCGTCACTTTCTACGTGCCAATCTCGTACGTCACGAGACCAATGCACTTCGTATGGAACAACACTGGCGTTCGTGTCAACAAGATGATCCCTGAGAAATTCAGGCTTTACGTTGGAGCCGCAATCACTGTCGCGGTCATCTTGGTCGGAACTTTCGTCAGTGAAGAGTCTGCAGACAACACTCGAGAGAACCGTGCAATTTCGCTTTTCGGCATGGTCGTTCTGATCTTTGCTCTCTGGGCGACCTCAAGAAACCGCAAGGCTATTAACTGGCACACTGTCATTTCTGGCTTCCTCATCCAGTATGTGATTGCGCTTTTCGTGCTCCGCACAGGAACCGGATACGACATCTTTAACTTCATTTCTGGCCTTGCGCGTGACCTGCTCGGATTCGCAGGCGACGGTGTGGCTTTCCTAACTACTCCACAAATCGTAGCCACCATCCACTGGTTCTTGCTCAGCGTGCTGCCAGCCATCATCTTCTTCGTATCGATCGTACAGCTGCTGTACTACGTCGGACTCCTCCAATGGTTTATCGGCAAATTCGCAGTGTTCTTCTTCTGGACCATGCGCGTATCCGGTGCCGAAGCTGTCGTCGCCGCAGCCAGTCCTTTCATCGGACAAGGAGAATCTGCTATGCTCATCAAACCATTCGTTCCACACCTGACAATGTGCGAACTGCACCAAGTCATGACTTCAGGTTTCGCCACAATCGCCGGATCCGTTCTGGTAGCATATATCGGCATGGGGATCAACCCACAAGCTTTAATCAGCTCCTGCGTGATGTCCATCCCAGCCTCCCTCGCAGCATCCAAACTCCGCTATCCAGAGGAAGAGGAATCCCTCACCGCAGGAAAAGTCGTCGTCCCAGACGATGATGACCACAAAGCCGCTAACGCCCTCCACGCTTTCGCAAACGGTGCTTGGCTGGGTCTCAAGATCGCAGGCATGATTCTCACAACTTTACTCTGTATCATCGCCTTCGTAGCCCTCATCAACGGCATCCTGACCTGGATCGGCCACTATATCAACCTGACTGGAAAGTACGACCTCACCATCGAACTCGTCCTAGGCTACATTTGCTACCCCATAGCTTTCCTCCTCGGTGTCCCTCGCGGTCCAGACCTCATAAAGGTCGCTCGCCTCATCGGCATGAAAGTTATCACCGTAAGTCCCATTCAAATCCACCCTTGCTAAACCCCCTATCTAATCCTCTGTATCTAGAACGAATTCGTCGCTTACAACGCCCTCACAACCGACCCCGCCTACGCCAACCTAAGTTCGCGATCCAAACTCATTGCAACATATTCGCTCTGCGGTTTCGGAAACATCGGATCCTTGGGAACACAGATCGGTGTACTTTCACAAATCGCTCCAGGAAGATCGGGAGATGTGAGTAGATTGGCCATTTCTGCTTTGATTACCGGTGTGCTATCTACGCTGAGTTCGGCGAGTATTGCGGGACTTGTGATTCAGCATCAGGAGAATTTTACGTAGACAGAGAGCGGAAGTGGTGATGGTGACGATGTAGTACGGTGGAATACGAAACGATGAATTCAAATCGATCGCTTTCACAACCCTCTGCCTCCTTCCGCGTCTGGCGCACTAATTTTACATGTGTCACGATGTGTGTGAGAGAGAGGTGAGAGAAAAAAAATTGGTATGCAAGAAAGTGTGTTCCGTCCAGCGCCAACGTTTTCGTCAGTTCAGCGCGTGTATCCCTCTTGCATTCGCATCAACGCTACACGTATTCTGGTCCTTTGCGGCCGAATCTGATGATAGTACATTCATCATGTCTCCTCTATGTCTGCCTAAACGTCCTCTTCCTCAGGACAGCAGCAGCAGCAACAGCAGCAGCTTCTACTCCCACATCAAATTCTCTGCTTCAGTGCATCCAAATCCATATGCCCTTTATCGTCACCAGCTCATCGCACATGAAGTTCTCGAGCGAGCGCGCGTATCGGATCATCGTTCTTAGGAGGATTCCTTCGATCGTCCTCCTAAGTCACGATCTGCGTCTCCATCTGAGAATCTGCCGGCTGTGCCAACGCGTTGCCGTTCTCCTGTCCTGGCAATATGAGCTCTTCACCGTTCGCTGTCTGCTCCTCCAAGCCTGCGAATCGATCTGCCTTACTTGAGTCCTCCGCCGTCCACACCTTGTCTTCGAACTTGCCTCGTTTCTGGCCCTCCGCATGTTTGAACGTGCAGTTGGCATTCAGACAAGGGTTGTACCGGCACATGATCTTGCTGTGGCCGAATGTGCATCCAGGTGTCGTACAATCGGCGCCGTTCCGGCATGGTGGCGCATTTGGATGGCGGAAGGGGCAGGCAGGATTTGTGCAGTTGGGGAAGAATTTGCAATCTTGCTGCTTGTTGAATGCATTCTTCTTCGCTGGTGATGGGTGTCGGGCTACGCAGTTGTGATTCGTGCATGCCGCGCCGTGAGGGCACGTGGACTCCATATCAATGCTTCCCTTGCCGTTCGTTGCTGGTCCGTGGTGTGCAAATCCGCAATCTGGCATGTTGCAAGAGAGATCAAAGCGGCACGCAGTCGAGAACTTCGATCCCTTGTCATCAGAATCGACCTCCATGCCATCGGCGTGCGATCCTCCACCAGGTCCAGCAGGTAGTGCAACATCAGGCAGCTTGCCATTCACGGCCTTGAGCTTGGGTTCTTGAGTGTGTCCACCGCGGCCTCCCCGGTGACCTCCTCTGCCACCACGTCCAGCATGGTTGCCGTTTTGGAATCCGCCGTTCTGGTTGTTCATCATCTGTGTCAGGAGATTGGCTTGCATCTCCATCATTTGCATGAACTGCATTTGCTGCTGACTGCTCATGTTGCCGTTCATGCCTTGCATCATTGGGTTCATGTTGCCGCCCATATTGTTGTGGTGACCAGTACGGCCGCCATTCATCATGCGCTGAACCCCATTGGCGATGTTCTGTTGACTCTTGGGTCCGCGCGGAGGACCGTCGCGAGCAGAATGTGCGTTGATTCGGCCACTTTGACCACCGGCTGCACCTTTTATTCTTCTGAGATTGTCAGGGAGATCGGTAGAGCGGTCCATACTTCGGTTCATCTGGCCGAGCATGCGGCCGCCACGTCCTCGTTGTAGGCCGTTGCCGTTTCGCATGGACTTGGGACCTGTCGGACTATAGCCGTGTTGAGTCAGTTGCTGCTGCTGCACGTGAAATTGTCGACGTGGGGGGTGCACAAAGTCTCTGCCGCACTCGAAGTACTGCGAAGGCTTGTAGCATTGGGGGGAGGGGTGCGACATGTCTCCGGTGAAGTGCACCGGATGCATGTCGCGAGGGTGGTTGGAGTAAGAAAAGGTGACATACGGTGCGTCGGCGGATGCTGGAGTGTCTTCCATAGCTGCATCCTGTAGCGTTGGGATTGGTTGCGGCTGCTGATCTTGCTGCTCTGGCTGTGCTTGCTGAGTGTGCTGCGGTTGAGATATGTTGCGCACTTGGTCGAACAGCCACTGCGCGAACTCGCGCACAGTCGGATCGTCGTCGGTCAGGCCCAGCAAGTCGCTGCCGAGCTCTGACTGCACGCCTTGGATGTCCTTGCCGTTGACGATCATCATGGTCACGTATTCGGCGAGGGTGGTGTCGGTCTCTTCGGCCACCCATCCATTTTCCATCAGCTTCGGCTGCACTGCGAGCTGGATCTGCTGCGCGAGCGCGCTGCCTGTATCGACGCCAGACATGTTGGCGGTGTGTGATGAGTGAGCGGTGGTGGTGGTGTCGTCAAAGAATGAGCGGTTTGGGTGCTGCGACGATAGGAGAATGTCGCGGAAGGCTTCGAGCCTCAGTCGGTCGCGCTGGATGCCACTCGCGCGGTGTGTCAGCGATGAATAGTGCGTGCGGATAGGCTGTGGTAGTGATTGCAAGTGCGCCCTTCACGGCTGGATGCAGTGTTGGATTGTTCTTTGTTGTCGAGTCGAGAAAGGAGCGGAGGTCGCGTGTCGCTGTGCTTGTGCTTGCCCTCAGCGTCTCTTTGCTGCTGACTCGCCAAGAAACGTCAGTGCGGCGCCACCCGCCCTAAGCTGCAGCTTGCCTTAGTAAGCACAAAAAGTCATGGAAATTCGCATGTGATGCGCCCATCAATGTGCTGCAGATAGTGCAGAAGGAGAAGACGCCGACAATGGCCAGGTCCAAGCAGGCAAAGGCTGCAGGGCGGCAGGCAGTCGTGCAGCAGCCGACTCCGCCTGTACACGACGAGGAAATGGAGGACGATTCCGATGTCGAGATCGTGGTCGACGGCGAATTGGAGAAGGACGAGACGGAAGAAGAGCTGGCGAGATTGGTCTTTGGCGACAGCGCTGGATTCAGAGAGGGGCTGAAAGACGTTGTCGTTGACGAAGAAGAGGTTGAAGAACAAGAAGAAGACGCAATTGGCCTAGAAGGTCTAGACGATGCGCAAGTAGGTCTGAGCATACGACAATTACTAGGGGCTCTATTGTTGACACTTGAACAGCTATTCTTCACCGATACTGGCGATAATACGCTAGCCCCGCCACCCGATACCGCGTCAGACGACGAAAGCGAAGACGGGACATTGCGGTCGAAACAGCCACCTGCATGGGAGGACAGCGATGATGAACGAACGTTGGTCTCGCTGGCTTCAGTGTCGCGATTGCGGAAGTTACGAAGAACCGAAGCTGAAGATGTAGTCACTGGCAAAGAGTATGGAAGACGGCTGCGAAAGCAGTTTGAGCTGCTAAATCCAGCACCAGCGTGGGCGAGGACTGCATTGCACAAACCCGCAAGGAAGAAGCGACGCACTTCTGAAGCTGCGTCTGATGAAGATACGTCGGAAAACGAGATGGACATCGATGAGGACCTGCCCTCGACCGCGCCTCTCTCGCAGTTATTACAAGATGCCGAATCTCTTGTTCGTCAAGCAGGCCCAGGAGCAGGGAAGAAACGAAAGATTCGACCCGAAGTCGTGGACATCCAACGGCAGAAGGATGTGCCTGGTGTGCAGCCAAGTGCCATCACATCGCTCTCCTTCCACCCCAACCTGCCGCTTTTGCTCTCCTCCGGACCATCCTCGACACTCTATCTGCATCAGCTAGCACAATCGCCGCCAGCTCCCACTCCCAATCCACTTCTGACGAGCTTGCACGTTCGCGGGTCTCAGCTCACAACCACAGCATTCCACCCGACAGATTCGCGCATCTTTCTTTCTGCACGACGACGATACTTTCATATCTGGAATCTATCCACTGGCCGCGTAGAGAAGATCACTCGTGTCTATGGCCAACAGCACGAGCAGAAAAGCATGGAAAATTTCAAGCTTTCGCCAACAGGACGATACATGGCACTTCAAGGATCTACCAGGAAAGGCGGCGGTATCATCAACATTCTTGACGCCTCAACTTTGCAATGGGTGGCGCAAGCTCGTATCGAGTCCCGGGGTGGCATAGCAGATTTCGCATGGTGGCGTGATGGCAGAGGTCTGACTGTCGCGGGCAAAGGCGGCGAAATCACAGAATGGGACGTTGCTGAGCAAAAGGTGGTGGCAAGGTGGCAAGATGAGGGAGCGGTGGGCACGACAACTCTAGCTCTCGGTGGACAACACGAAGTCACTAGAGGTCCCATCGGCAACGATCGATGGATCGCAGTTGGAAGCAGCTCGGGCATCGTCAACATCTACGACAGGCGAGCCTGGCTTGGCAACAACCCCAAATCCGCGTCAGGAAGCGACGTGCCTCCGCAACCTAAACCCACGCGAACACTCGACCACATCACAACACCCACATCTCACTTGGCATTTTCGCACGATGGTCAAATCCTGGCCATGGCCTCAAAGTGGAAGCGAGATGCGATGAGACTGGTCCACCTGCCTAGTTGTACTGTCTTCAAGAATTGGCCCACAAGCTCGACTCCTCTCGGACGAATCACCGGCGTTGCATTTGCATCTGGCGACACTGGGTCTGGTAGCGATGCCCACAGTATACTTGCGGTCGCCAATGAGCAGGGCAAGATCAGGCTTTGGGAGATCAGATAGCAAGACAGCTGTCGGCAACGTGGACTTTCGCAAACCAACTTTAGTACGCGAATCTTGCTAATAATTTCCAAGATCGTCTCGCGTGAGCTTTCATTGTCGCTGGTGTTTTGAAACTTCGCACGACTCTAGCTTCCCTACCAGATATGGACCGCACCGGCGAGAACCATTCGGCTCCGGAAAAGAAATGGATTGGTCATGGCCCTGAGGACATACTACTTCACAGCTTTTTTAGGGATAGAGACTTCCTGAGGACGTGAAGGACATGAGGACATGAGGACGTGAAGGACAACAATCCCTATAAGTACTACCCAACTACCCTTCTACAATTTTTCCTTCCCTCATCAAGACTTCTCGAATGCATCGATAGCGCAATAAGAGACACTGTCATCGTCCATCACAGTCCAACAAATCCTTATCAAAATGGAAAAACAAGAGACACCGAAAGCGACCATCAACCAAACCACGGCTGATGCCGTGAGTTCGGGTATCATCTCAACCATGCTCAGTGCCCTGAATACTCCAGATGTCCAAAAGCTCCTCGCTCTGGTATGCGGCTTCACGCTGTCCAAAGTCTTGCCAAAACACTCGATCGACAGCAAAGCCTTCTCGAGAGCTTCCACAGGCTTCTCATCGGGTGTAGCTTGTGCAACGATCGCGCTTACCTGTGGCCTCTTACCAGACTCAGCAAAAGCCCCAACAATGCTGGTCATGGTCATAGCTGGAGCGACTTTTGGATGTGCGAATCTCGTATGGGATTTCTTGCCAAGGGAAGAAGACACCCAGACCGAGACCAAAGAACATCTGCGCATCGAAGCTCTAGAAGATCAAAATCAGGAACTCATCCTTCTCCTCAACCAGGCCAACAACGAGATCCTCGCAGAGAAGGAAGAGAAAAGAGACTTACAACAACTCATCACCGATATCCAAGAAGAAGCTCTCAATCGCCAAAATGACGACGAACTCGAGCTAGAACATCGACCCATCACGACACACGAATCTTCCCAGGTCGAAATTCTCCAAACCAAGCTCAGGAGCCAGGATCAAGAAATCTCCGAAATCAAAGAATACTATGAAGACCTCCTTGTCCTCGACGAAAAACATATCACAGCCCTGCGTCAAGGTTCACAAGATGACAAAGTCCACTTCACAACCCAAATCTCAAATCTCAAGACCGAAATCCAAGGATACCGAGATCGTGAAGAGAGACATAATGAGGAGATGAAGTCATCGTCTGATTTGATCGACAGCAAAGAGAAAACGCTACAAAAACTCATCAGTCAAGTGAAAGGTGCAGAGTCGTTGAAGAAGCAGAAAGATCACTGGAAACGTGAAGCAGAGATCCTGGGCAAACAAATCGAGGATATCTACTGGTTTACTGAAGAAGGGGAAGGTGCTGTGGAGTTATATTATCGATGTAAAGAGGCCAAGGTGGCTTTGAGGGCTGCTGATGATGAGATTGGAAGCCTGAGGAGTCAACGTGACGCTGCGAGAGAGCGAGTGGTTCAGCTTGAGAAGAAGCTTCATGACCTGAAAGATGTGTGCTGTTCGCAACACGAGTTGAAATTGGATATGTTTGCTGCGCTTGTGGAGAAAGCTGCAGAGATTGAGAGGTTGGAGGAGGACATTGTGAGTTTGAAGGAAGAAGTTGAGGGTCAGCAGAGAGCGAGGGGTGAGTTGGAGACGGTGGGACGAGGGCGGGAGGAAATTCGGATCAGTGGGTCTATGACCGAGGTGGAGGTGGAGGTGGAGATGGAGGCGCACATGGATGATGAATTATATGATTTGTGTCTGTTTTGAATTGGTAATGATTAATGCTATTGGGCGTCAGGGGCGGCGACAATGCTGCCCTTGGCAGGTATAGGGAGAGAAGTGTCAGCCAGCAAATGATCAAATACCCCCAACCTCCGCAATTGATTATTTTTCTTCTAATTTGTCACGACGCTGTGTAAAGTGGACAGCCGAGCGGAATCACGCGATGACCCCAGGTAAGACTTTTGTGGAGTTCAAGATAGGTGTCAGCAAGGCTGTGTGATATCGAACTTTGCCAAGACTTTGGCGTAGATCAGGCTGTGGGTGGTTGAGGCTAGCTGGCCAGCAAAGACAGAGCGAGACATTGACATTACGAGACAGCTCGTTGGTCGAAGCCTGAATCAAGACTTGATTCGGCGCACAAAGACCAAAACTCAAATTCGCCAGACTGGGATGTGTTGATAAATTCTGTCCTTTTCAAGTTCCTTCTCTTCTGCTACAACTTTTAAGGACGTCGCTTTTCGAGAATATCGTTTGTCTCATCCCGCGAGAATATTTAACAAAACAATCCACCAAGAATCATTTCGAAGTCCTTGCAAATCTCTGATCGCCAAAATGTCCGGTGGCTCTTCTCGGAACTCTCTCCGCGGAATGTCATCCTCTGGACGTCGGATGATCATTCGTGGCCCTTCCAGAAACGATGCTCCAGACAACTCGCAGCTCTCTCGAAGTCTCTTCGACCGAATACTCGGTCCAGGTCCTCGTGGAAGCGGCCCTTCGCGTTCTGGAATCGCAGAGAAGATCAGTCGAATGTACAAGCTCGAAGACATCATGGAAGGAGTGGAGACTGAACTCCGGTACAATGATCTGCGAACTCGATACGACAACCTAAACAGGAGTGAGCAAGAGCTTCAACATTCGCTCAAGTCCAAGGAGACCCGGATCACAGACCTGGAGAAGCAGCTCGAAGCCGAGAGCAGTAAGAACTACAAAATCGTGTACGCTGACCTGTGTACGGCACATGAGAAACTCAAAGAAAAGCTCCAGCACCTGGAGAAGCAAAACCAAGGGCTCTGTGCAATCGCCGCATCTGAAAGGTTGCAGAAGGCTACCGAGAAAGCCAAGTGTGATGAGGCGCACAAGCCTGAAGTGACCGCTCTTACGGAGAAGCATAGCACCGAGTTCAACGCTCGTGTGCAGGCCGAGAGAGTTGCGAAGGAAGCCAACGAGCAATTGCAGACCTTGAAGCAGCGTATACAAGAGATTGCGATCCGAGCTCGACAAGTACTTGATAACGAGAACGCAGCCCGGGGAAAAGTTGAGATGGCCCTTGACGAAGAAAGGTCACAATGCCAGGTCTTTTCGGCACAAGCCGCACAAAGATTACAGATTGGTAAGGGCTCCCGTTCTCGTGCTGAAAAGGCTCTTGAGGATGAAAGGGTGAAACGTCAGATCGTGACGAACAATCTCGAACTTCAATTAATGGGTGCTCGAGTCAAAGCCGAGAAAGCGCTTAAGAAAGAGAATGCGCGATTTCAGAATGCTGAGAAGGCTTTCCAAAAACGTTTGTGCGACTCGCAAGAGGCCTTCGAGCTTTGTAACAAGGCCTTGGAGGCTGAGAAGGAAGGTCACGCCTCGCAGATGGCAGAGATGAAGGCCGAGTTGGATAACCAGCAGAGGGAATATTTCGAGACGATCCAGCACATTTCGGCCGCGATGCGTGACGCTCAAGACAAGCAACGAAAGAATGAAGTCGGGCTCATGTCAAAGATATGCCAGCTCGAGAAGGCATTTAACGGAGAGAAGGTGTCTCTAGCCATAATGAGTGAAGAGTTCCACAGATGCGAGGCGAGGATTCGAGACCTCTACGGCAAATGCATGGATTGGAAGAGCTATTCGGATGAGCAAAACCGGCAGATTCAGACCCTGAACCAGGAGAAGGCAGAACTCATCACTAAGTATGAGATCCTCGAGGCTAAGCACCATGTCGAGGTCAAAGGATTGAATAAAGAAGCCGATACCCTGCATGATCGCTTTTTGAAAATGTTCTCGAAAGATCGGGAGACTCGTCGTGCACTAGATGAAGAGAAGGCGAAATCTTCGGAGCTGGAGGCACGGCTGTCGGATAGCGAGAAGAAAATCGAGCTTCTCATTGGGGACACCACGAGTCTTGCCACGAATGTACTCAACTTGAAGGCTTCTCGAGTCGTTGCATGCAAGGTCAACGACGAGCTGGAACTGAAGCTGAAGCAGACAAGCGCGCAGCTGAGCAGAGCATTGGAGCAGCTGAATGGCTATGACTTTCCAGAGCAGTCCGAGGACGATACCTCAAGTGATAAGGAACCACAAGAGGCAGCAAAGGGCCCCGACGCCGATACGGGATCCGAGCGAAACGATACCGCCGAGCGGGTAGGGTTCCTCCACAAGATGATTGGAGTGCCAATAGAGACACAGAGCGATGAGGTCTCTGAACGCAAGTCGATCTCGCAACAATCTACGGAGCGCGAGAAAGACGCCGCTGTTGAGCGTGGCGAGAGCGAGGCGTCGGAGTCGTCCATTGAGTCCGATGACGATGAGTCTGACGAAGAAATCAACTCAGACGAAGAGTTCACTGTCATCGAAGAACCAGCAGTACTCTCCCTCAACCATGATCCAGAAGACGCCCATCGGACAAGTTGAGCT